ACCCCTTCCTCGGAATCGGTGGAGTCTCAAAAATCATGCTTGTGGATTATGGAATACTGTCTCTTTAAAGGTGGGGGGACAGGAGATTTTTCGTAGTTTTTTTTGTATCTAGAGTATGCATTCTACCGTCACGGTGTACAACGCTTAATGTCACTCTGCGTACAGTTGTCGTCCTCGCCTTTATGTATGCAATCGGGCGTCCGCTTTCTCTTTGCCCGCGTGGCTCAGTCGGTAGCGGCGCCGCACCCTCAATCCTCGCCTTCACAAGTTCATATCCTCGAGGGGCATCTTTGAACGGAATTTCCAGAACATTATTTTTTTCATGTCCCCCCACCTTTAAAGGAGCATAACAAACTGTGTGAAATTCATCAGTGCCGCATCGAAAGCTTACTGTACCCGTGGCGAAACCCAAAAAAAGAGCGCCAAACACAAAAAACTTGCGGCAAGCGTCTCCAATTTTCTTTTTTAAAAGGTGTTCTCAACTATTCTTCCTTCGTTCTAATATTGGAATTTCTGCTCGATTCAACTTCTTTTTTGTTGAAATTGAAATATTCAGCGGAGCATGGTCGTTAGATTGTTAAAGAGAGGAAGAAACATGTGGTTGTGATCCCTTTTCCTTTCATTAAACTAAATTATTTTTTCTCTTTCAAGACTGTACTCATTGTTCTGATATCTTTTGTTAAATTTATCTTAAAACTAATAAAGTCGGAAACAAAACGTTCGTTTACAGACCGGGGTGAGGTGTCACCGCAGGTTAGAAGATGGATCGCCGGCACAACAACGCGCCCGACTTCCAGAGAAGACCACTGTTTGCGCTGGCAGATTTTCTTCTCCGATACATCAGGTAAATAACAACCTATTCGTTTTTTTTGTAAAATCTCTTTCAGGGCGATCCTCGTCTTCTTCTTTGACGGTACTAAGAGACAGAATCTTGAAAAATTAGTCGGGTGGCTCCGGTTACAATTTCGAAATCATATCACGGCGTCCGTTGAAACTGCTCTTCAAATGGTTTTACGAAGCGAGCTCCTTTTCCAACTGAATAGGTATTTGGGAGGACTTTTACGGTTCAGAAATGGGAACGGTGGTCGATCAATGTATGTGGATTGCCTAGTGGATACTCCTGACAACGAAGAAGCACGACTCGAAATAAATGAAGGTGTGCGCCGAGAAATTCCTCGCATCGATCGACCGATCGCAGAGAACAGAGGGCGAATGACAACGGAGTACTACGAAGATATTTCACCGCCTACAAGACAACCGGTACCTGAACCTGTCGATAGTTTCGATCAAAAAATGGCGAGAAACCTAAACAGTGCTGTGACATATGTTGGTCCTGCAAGAAGATTCGGACCTTCCCTTGTACCCAGAGAGGAATCTGCAACTGATTACTTCGTGGCGGATGTTCCGAGCACATCATCAAGCTTTCCAGATTGGCCGGCGCTCTCAAACCCTCAACCACATTGTTCACGGCAACCAGACCCGGCCGCGAGTAACAGGTAAGTTTTCTCTATTTATCTTGTGTGCCAACAAATTAAATTTGCAGTTCTCACACTCTCCCTCCACGGACCCAATGCGCTGAACGGGTACAAACACCGCTTACTGAAAGCGATGTAATCCAGGAATATGATCAATTCAGCGAGGATGATGAACCGACATTGGGAGATGATTTGGAGTCTTTGACACCAATCCGAGAGAACATCCCTCCGCTTCAGAACGTTCCGATGGAGTCCCAGAGAGCGCCACGAAACGCTGATATCCGCGATAACAATGCAAACGATTCTGAGAAAACGATCCCTCACAATCAATCAGACTCGGAATCATACGAAATTTTCTCAGAATTTCAGTCCATTTCTGCTTTAATCCTACCTAAAGAGTTGATGGAAGGAGTGTACAAGAGTCTCGCTAAGAATGATGTCCCGGAAAAATCTCATGATCAGCAGGCTGAATTCATCATGGGGAAGTTATTCCCAAAACGGAGCCCGCCAGTGAATGCTTCAATGTATCGAACCGGTGACAACAAGGTGTTGGGATTCCAAAATAGTGACACTCATCGAATTTGGCTCACACCAATGTAGGAATCAGTAAGGTTGTTATCTAAACAAAGGCATATTTTCAGAGAGAACCAAGTAATATTCTTAAACGGAAAGCTGGTAGCCTGCGAGCCAAGAAAACTCGGAATATGTGAAATCTGTGCAAGTTACAAATTCAGCAATCACGAGACGCTTCGATGTGATAGCTGCAAACGTGTGTTCCATGCCAAGGTAACAGTGGCTCAAAGCTTCTAAAATATTTTTATAACTTTCAGTGCTTCGCGGTCCGTGCTCAACGAAAAGGGAAGTGCATATGTCGTGCTCGCCTCTGTCCTGAGAAGAACCCATACGTGTAGAGTCGTTTTCTCACCCCCTTCTGTCTTGATATTTCACTCGTTGTGCTATATGATCAGTAATAACCTAAATAACATTATTTGTAATAACACAATCATAACTATGTAATATGAAACACAATGTAGCTCATTATTATTCTCATGAAACATTCTCGAACATTTTTAAATAAATTTTTCGCAACTGATTTCTCTTTTCTTCTTCTGCTTTTCTCAACAAAGTGCACTGCGTGTTTCGTATCTTTCTCTCGACCCTCTCATCGTAATGCGCTTTCTTGTTTTCCATCACTTACTTTCTGTGAATGGTTTTTTTTTTGGGAAATTTCAATTTATTACAATTAATGGAGGTTAATTCTACAATTTATAGAATGTTAATTCTTCCAGGCCCTTAAAATGGCTTCGATCAGCGGAAAACCTTCAAAATCCAAAGAAGTTCGTGAAACGAAAGAAAAAATAGTCGCGTTGCTTTCAAAATTGAAAATCGAGGAGGTTATTGAAATTAAAGATTGGCTTAACAAATATGTCGACGAAACACCTCTGGAACAAATCACCGCAAACCACGAGAAGGAGCAGAAAAAGAAAATTCTAGAGAAAGGAGCCCAAAAGCTCGATCGAATCGCCACGTTCTTGAAAGACAAAGGAGTTGATGTACCCTCGAAAGAACTCAATAAGCTGAAATATCCAACAGAAGGGTTCGACAGTGATTGCAACGAAATTAACACGGTGAGTCAATCATTTAATGTGTGAAACATGAAAATCATTTATTTATTCAGTGCGAAGTCGATTCCTTCCTCTATGACGATGATGACGTGGAAGAGCTGGTGCAACAAAACCAGCTCAGTCGTTCGTACTGCCCAGATTGTAATTCTCGGAACACCATCCCGTTGAACTTTATCAGTCACAGTTTGAGCCGTTTGCAAATCAAGTTTCTTTTCGATAAACTGATGCCGCCAACGTGTCAAAATGTTCTGGACATTGGGAGTCGTTTGGGAGCTGTTGTTTATGGTGCTTCGCTGTTTACGTAAGACCAGAAGAATAATGGACATAAAAATTCAAACGCTGATCTTTAGAAACGGAAACGTTCATACAGTTGGTGTGGAGATGGACTCGGATTACGCTGCACTAGCACTGCAAACGATTAGACAATTCGGGTTGAAGGTAAGTTTTCAAAACATTTTGTTCTTACTTGGAAATTACAGAACATTGAAATTCTTCGCGAAGACATTCGTCACCTGCCACAAGTGTTCAAGGAGAACCAATTCATTGTAATGAACAACGTATTCTCTTTCTTCCTCTCCAAAACCGAACAAGAGGAATGTTGGGAATTCCTTCACACTCACATGCGCCCTGGAACTGTTCTCGCCCATCATCCACCAGTTGAGAAAATCACGGAACATTTGGATCTTTCCTTTGCAGTTGAAGATTGGCTGGAATTCGTGAACACTACGGAGCAGTGTTCAGAGTATGCTGGAGACGATTCGGAAATTTTCGAAGAGATGGAGTCGATTTGCAAGTACATTGTGAAGAATCCGGAAGTTTAGTATTAAGTTTTGAATCATTTTTGTTGTTGTTACTCTTTTTATTTGTTGCTCATTTTTTGTTTTTATCATAAAAGCTATCCATTACTCATATTGTATATTGTTTCAGAAATCGCGCTGGAAATTCAATTTCCTTGTCTATAAAATACAAGTTGTAATGTATCATATGAGTCACACGAGTGGATCGAAATCAGAATACACTCATTCATCTTGGTCTTCTAGCTCTTTTTCTCATTATTATCACTATTATTTTCGCTGAGCTTCTCGATCATACGAAAACCTCACAACCCTTTCGCCTCACTGAATTTGTTTTCCAAATAGAGTTTTTCTATTATACCAGTCAACAATGTACAACCAAACGCAATGCCAGATGATGGCCGAAGTTGCCACGTCATCAGTTTTAAGGTTTATAGCTTCGTTTTTCCATCCGCCGAAGGTCTCACAACGATAACTACCGTAACCGAAAGATTTTTTTCGGGATTTATTTTCTCGATTTTCGCGCGTTTTCAGTCAATCACCGTCCAAAATAGAGAAATAGGCAAAAATATAATATTCAAAGCCGAAATACTGTATCAAACCAGCATCGCTTGTAAAAACCGTAGCTGTTTTTGCTTCAGAACCGACGATGCACCTTTGAATAAACTTTTGGTCACAAGGCTCATCGGCGCCGGACAACAATAATAAATACTGTAGTTTTCGTTGTGGGACTTTCGGCCATGGCTGAAGTAATTAGTCAATTTTAAATTCAGATCTACACTGCTCGTTTCCTTGATACTTTGTCTTCTTTGTATCCCTATAAACCTGTATGCTCTGTGGAGAATCAAAATATCTGTGAAACTGCATTTCAACAGTAAATGTGTTATTTTCAATCATACCTTCTTTGTCCTGGTCCATATCCTAGCCCGTATTGGATTGCATGGAAAAGATCTGATAAACTATTTTGATGATTGGGAAAGCGGATGTGATATAATTCCATCGAGATGTAGATGTAACCTCAGATACCTCTACAAGTTTTCCGAGTATATTATCGAAGTCAGTCCGTTTATTTTGACCATTGAAAGATTCGTTGCCACGTTTCAAGCCTACCACTATGAGAACCGATACAAATGGTTTGGAATCCTACTCAACGTCTTTCATGTAGGCGTTTATCGATTTCTGATCCATACGTGTTTTCTGTTTTCAGCTTTCGCTCAGTTGTCTTTTCATGTTTATACAAAACTCGACTAACACTGGGGAAGTTATTATTTATTACTGCTGGGTAAAAAATATACATGATAGCAAACTTGCTAATTTCCTAATTTCCAGCTCGCCAAATCCGGAAATCGATTCCTCGTCAATGTGCCCACTTTCTTTATATTTTTCAGTCAGCTTGCAACAATACCCGGGTTACTGTATCTGTTGAGAAAGAATGAAGTCAGTTGGGGGAAAACAAGGACTAGACATTTTACAAAGACATTTTCAGAATTTTCGAAAAGCAACATCTCAAAAACATAGTTCTCTCACTGAGAGATATCAGATCTCTGAAAATCTAAGAACTTCGAGCATGTTTCGGGTAATGAGTGTGGTGACGTGGGCTTACGTAACTTATAATGCTGGAGGATCTTATATTGCTCATTATCTAATGAAATCGATGGACTACGCGGAGCAGTTTTCTACTATTGAAAGTGAGCTACATATTCTGTAAATGCAATAATAGAAGCCAACCCTATACATGTACTTTAAGATCACTTATATCGGTTCTTTCAAAAGATATGAGAAACTTGTCAACTAATAAAATGTAGCTGATAAAACTAGAAGTATTTTATGAGTTGACAAACTTTTTATATCTTGAAAGAACCGAGATAATTGGTCTCAAAGTGCACAGAGTGGGTTTCTATTACAGAACTTACATTAGTATATAGAATTAAATATCAAGGTAATGTTTCAGTAATCCATTGCGTTCCCATCTACTACATCATTCTCAGTATTTTTATAATTCGAGTAGATAAGAAACCTCGAAGCGAGTTCATTATAAAAATCAAAAACTACCAGAATCATTATTTCTTCGAGCTCCAGAAGTTTTTCGACGAAGCCTTTGAGAAGATCACTCAACGAAGACATCGTGTGGGTTCAATGCATAATATCATGAACTCACAATCAGAGGGAAAAAGTTCTAAGGTACCATAAACACTCTGATAGAGTGTCACCCAATCCCTCAACTTTGAGCCCATATATCTCATTTTCTGCAAAAGATAACAAGAAGTGGTTAACTGACAAATTAATTTTGTTATTATGATAAACATTTTATGAATGGATTTTTTATATCTGTTACCAGAAATGAGATGTATGGGCTCAAAGTTTACGGTTTGGGTAACACTATTGGGTTAAGGTATTTGTTGGATGTCAAGAAGTTTTTCAGATGTTTCATTGAGTAGAAGTTCATGGCAGTCACGTCATCGAGATAACCATTGGGTCCTGATGTTGAGCAAATCTGCAGAACTACAAAATTTTCTCGACCTGCCAAATTTTCCAAAATGTCACGTATGATGACCTATTCTTTGCAGACTGGTGGACTGTAACTCCAAAAGTCAAGGATCACTAATTTCACAGGAATGTAAATATTTTGAATAAAGCATTTTGATTTTGTTTCTAGTGCGTTTGATTACAGATCATTTGACTTATTCATTTTTCGCAGTTATGCCTGAACTTTGAAGGGATGGGAAGTTTCATCAAGCGTGAATTTCGAAATTGTAACACCACAAGTTCAAGTTTGGTCTCAAAAGAATCTAGGTTCAATTATTAGGTTGGCGGGAAAGTCTTTGTCACTTTTTCAATAGTTTATTTCTCAAAGAAAAAATAACCGAATAATTAATTATATTGTCCATCATTATCAACAACATGTCTCCAACGTTCCCTCAATTTATGGATTCCATTGCGGTAGAATCCAGCCGGGCGTGAGGCAAAGTATTGTTTGAGTGCCGCTTCGACCGCTCCACGGGAATTGAAGCTTCTTCCTTCGAAGGCACGTGTCATATCGCCAAATAACCAATAGTCGGAAGGAGCAAGATCAGGAGAATACGGGGGGTGAGGGAGAACATTCCATCCATATCCCATCAGCTCCTGCTTCACTTGTTTCGAAACATGTGGGCGAGCGTTATCATGTTGATAGTACACTTTCTTGTCTTTCAGGGCCGAACGGTCGACTGCTTTCTTGAGGTTTCGTAGTTGAGTAGTGTAGAGGTCTCCAGTTATTGTTTTGCCCTCGGGCAGAAGTTCCCAGTAGATGGGGCCGTCCACTCCCCACCACACAGAGAGCATAACTTTTTTCGGATGAAGGTCGGGTTTGGGGACATCCTGTGGGCTCTCTCCTTCTCCAACCCACTGGGATTTCCTGTGGTGATTATCGTAGAAGACCCACTTCTCATCTCCGGTTATTAGCCGGTCCAGCCATCGATCGCCCGCGTGGAGAGTGAGAAGAGTAATCGAATCGTCGACTCGGCGGTCAAGGTTGGCTTGAGTCAGGTGATGAGGTATGAATCGACCAAAAAGTTTTCTCATTCCAAGAGACTTCAAACCTTCAAGGACTGTGCTATGGTGAACTCCGAATGTGACAGCTAGTTCACGGCTAGATTGAAATGGATCCGATTGCAATGCGTGCTTCAGCTTGTCCAAATCCAACTCACGGGGTCTCCCAGAGCGATCCTTTTCATCGAGCGAGAAGTCATCTTTTTCGAAACGATGGAACCAATTGCGAATAGTATTGTAGTGAGGGGCATGTGTGTTGTACACATTCTTCAAGAAAGTTTCCGAATCCTTCATCGTGGTGTGAGATAGGAAGAGGTAAATCAAAACATGTCTGATGTGAATAGCAGTGGGAACAAACATATCGTTTCAATTACAGATGAGGAGCAGGGAAGGAGATGGGGACTTGTTTATATGGAAGGTTCTTATCACCTTGTTATTCACTAAAGTCGATATCATACACAGCCTCCATATACGAGAACAGTGATTAAACAAACAGAGTGACAAAGACTTTCCCGCCAACCTAATAGACAACTCATAGTCAGACAGAATCAAACAGAAGAGGAAGAAAACTTTGTGAGCTTTCATTTGAGATTGATTTTTCCCTTTTTTCATGTTTCTTTAAAACCTGTATTAGAAGGAACCCTAACTTTAAAATTTGAGGCAATTTATCTCAGTTCCTGTGAAAGATATCAGAAAGGTATAAATTAATAAAATGTTTTTGATATCATGATAAACAATTTGTCAGTTGACAATTTCTTTTCTACCTTTTGCAGAAAATGAGACAAATTGTCTCAAAGTTGGAAGTTCTGTCTTTTTGACTACGTAATTTGGGTAACACCACAAATATCTTATGGTTTTTTGTTTAGACATGATTCTAAGAATATTTTTGTACTTGATTTCAAAAGATCCTTCGAGAAATAATGATAAACAATAACACAGTTAGCCACAAGAATCGTTTGTGTTTCCTATAATATATCTCATTTCCGACTAGTAGGCCGCTATTCCTTTCTCTTTCATATATAACAACTTTTTGGTTGACTCGATACTGATTTTTCAGTTACTGCCTCTGATATGCCTAACCAGACGAACTGCGAACAAATGGCTCAAGTTGCCACGTCATCAGCTTTAAGGTACATTTTTAGAAGAGGTTTTTTTTCCGAACAGTTCTATTTCAGATTGGTTCTTTCCATTACCACCATTCTATGTTTCTTATGTATCCCATCCTGTTTATATTGTTTATGGAGAATTCAAAGATCAATGAAACTCCATTTCAACAGCAAGTGCATTTTCATTACTCACAACATCTTCATACTCATCCACGTGATCGCTAGAATAACTCTCCATGGTAAAGACCTTAGAACTATTTCGGACCATGGATCAGTGGATGTGAGATATTTCCATCAAGAACAAGATGTGAGCTTCGAATCATTTATAAACTGTCTGCATATGTCGTGGAAGTTAGTCCATTTATTTTAACAGCTGAAAGGTTTATGGCAACTTTTCAAGCTCGGCATTACGAGAATAGGTTCAAATGGTTCGGACTCTTATTGAATGTTCTACATGTAAGAATTATACTTTAAAAAAAGATGTTTGAATCTTATAATTTTCAGGTTTGTATAGCAGTACTCTTTCTTAGGCTTCAGTCATCTGGAAATTTTGGAGAAATTATCATTTACTACTGTTGGGTAAATTATCAACATAAAAAATGGGCGTGACAATTTAGAGTTTTCAGCTTGCTTCCACTGGAAACCGATACTATCTCAACATCCCAATATTCCTTGTCGTTATCAGTCAACTAGTCACAATACCTGCTCTACTGTATCTTTTAAAGAAAAATGAGCGATTTCGGGAAACTTCTCTGGGCAAACATGCTACACTGACCCAGAGATATCAAATTTTTGAAAACTTGAGAACGTTGAACATGTTTCGAATTATGAGTATTATTACATGGATCTATGTAACTTATAATGCTGCAGCGACATATATTGCTAATATGTACTTGAAGTCCATGAGTATGGATAGACAGTTTGCTTATATAGAAGGTAGGTTTCGAGTTTGGTTACGGTAAACACTCAAATAGAATAACACCCAAACCGTCAACTTTGAGCCAATGTATCTCATTTTCCTTAAAATATATCAAAAAAGGTCCACTGACAAAATGTTTATGTTCATCAAAAAATGTTCATCAAAAATATTTTATCAGTTAACTTTTTCTATACCTTTCGCAGGAACCGAGATATATGGGTTCAAAGTTACCTGTTTGGGTAAGCTTTTCTTAGAGAAAATAGGTATAATTTACTTGCTCTTCTTTTCAGTTGTTCACTGCTTACCATTCTATTATCTAGCTCTCTCATTTTTTATATACCGTGAAGATCGAAAACCTAGGAGTCAGTTCGTTATCAAAGTGACCAATTATGAACCAAATTATTTCAATGACCTCCAAAGATTCTTTGACGATGCGTTCGTGAAAATCAAGCCTACCCATCCAAAACACTAACTCGTTCTTCTCAATAAAGTACGAGTACCCAATAAAAGTGATGAGCAAATCAAAGACAAAAGAAAAAGGAAAAGATGGGGAGATAGGAAGAAAGATGTGTGTCTGGAGGTCGTAGAATGGAATACATCAAAAGAGCTTAAAAGTGTGCTCATTTTGGGGCCTCTTCTCCAACCCCAATCCACACGGAATTATTTGTTCTTCTTCTTCGGTCTTCTTCTTCTTCTTCTTCTTCGTCGCCTCTTCGCTCACTTCGAAATCATCTTCTTCAGTTTTCTTCACATTTCTAAATGATGTTATTTTTTCTCATACTGCTGATAATGAATTTAAGTTTTGGTGATACTGCTGAGACAAGTTTCGTCTTTGAAAATCAAACGATTGGAATGAAGAAAGAAGACGTGAGTTAGGCTGGAAAGGCAATCTGAAACCGAATAGATTTTTCAGGGAGAAACCTGTATGAGCGTCACATTTCAAGTTGAAATATTGAACGAGCAGAATAACAACAGTGTTCCAATTGATGTAAGTTGCAGGGGGCTTTTTTTTTTCAAACGGCACATAACTCTGACGGTTCAACAATTCGGGGTTACAAAATTTGAAAGTTTTCAGGTATTTTCCACCCACGAATCGAGGATTTTGCACCTTTAAATTATTTTTCACTCCAATGAACCCAAAATCGTTGTACCCTACGAATCATTGGCCTTCTCAAATATGATATTCTGTAATTTTCAGTTCCATCTTCCGTCTGGTGTTATTAAAGGAAAATGTGCGGCTGATCGGAAAAGCGAGGCAGTGATTTCTTCTACCATTGAGGAAGCAGACGGAAGACTCAAAACGCTGAAATTTGTATTTCGCACGGTGAATATGTAAAAGAGCTTCTTGGAAATTCTTCATTTTCTAGTTTTTGAAACTCTTCATATAATATGCCGTAAAACCTGTATTAGAAGGGCTCTCTAAATTTTAGCTGTGGGCTAAATTTTCTGGTTTTCTGTCTATTACAGGGTTTACGGTAGTGCAGTTTTAATTTCTACAGGAAGAGATGCGAGTCAAGCGTGTTGACGAGTTGAGATGGATACTGAACAAAGTGGTTTATGTCGAAAAGTTTGCAGGTATTTTTTAGAGTTCGAGAACAATCCAAATGCAAGTGTTTAGGAAGTTCTGCGGTCTTCGAATCTGATAACTCCTCGGTTATTTTCTCGGCTCCTCTGACTCAAAAATACGTTTGCGAGGATCGTATCAATGTGACTCTTCACAGTGAGAACTTTGAGCAAGTCAAATATTTTCGTCAACAGAATTAAATTACATTTTTCTTCAGCTTCCCTATTCTCGTTATGTTTTCCCCTGAAATCGATGTTCAACCCTATGGTCCAAAGAGTAATTGTAAGTTTACCGTAAGCCCTGTAGTAGAAGGGCTCCCTAACTTCTTCCAACTAACCTAATTTTTCTCGGTTCCTGTCAGAGATATAAAATAGTTGTCAACTGATAAATTGTTTATCGTAACATCAAGAGTGTTTGCCCAGTTGACACAATTTTGAAATCTTGCATTGGAGCCAAGAAAAATTAGCTCAACCATGACAGTGTGTAGTCTCCCCGAACAAGATGTTTCAAAGTATCTGAAAAAAAACACATTCTGGCACATTTTCCGGAAAGCTAGAAAGCTTTTGATATTGACCAATTACACAAAAGTCAGCAAAACCAAAGACTAAGCTACAAAACCACCTGTTTTCCGTGAAAATATCTCATATTTGTCTATCTAACCACAAAAAATAATGACATTTTCAGTCTATCTCTGCGAGCGGACTAGAAAACGAACACTTTCGGAATCTCTCCAACACCGTTCAACCGTTTTTTGTGGCGTCGTTTTGGCGATTTCCTCTATCGCCCATATTGTTGGTCACATGCTTCGTCGCCATTTCATGCCCCATCGAAAAGAGCTTTATGAGAATTTGGACAGACTTCCAGCCATCTAGATATTTATTGGACAACTTGAAAAATATTCAACTACTTTATAATCTTACTAACACTCTCTTTCTTTTCATTTTCCATCCAATTTGATTTCTGTTCTTGCCCCAATAAAAAAATTATAGTAGTTATACACGGAATTGAAAGTAAATTGAATTAGAGGCCAAATTTTTTGTTTTTCTTTTTTCTTTTCGAGCTATGATTTATGTATGTTAAAATTCTTAGTATCTGTGTTTTCGTTCTATTTCTAATCTTCACTCACACACATGACAATACTATATCTAAATGAAACAGACGGTATGTTAAAAAAGAGCAATATCTCAAACTTCTTGTTTTTGGGTTTTTTGTAGTCTGGAAAAGACTTGAGGTTCAGGTGAACTCGGAGTCAAAACAGACGCTGAAATTTCAATTTCAAAATTCGGAAAGATAATCAGTGTAGCTAATTTTGTAGTCTCTGCCCTTTCTATTTATTGATTAAGTTCCAGCGAGCTTATCAGAATTGCTCGACTAGATTTCTCAAAACTAGCGTTAGGTCAGGAGCCACACTTTTGTCAAACTTTTTTCGAACTGGAAAATATTATTTGATTTTTTCCCACCTTATTGTTAGTTCTTTAACGGTGTATTCGGCGAATTTTACTCGGAACATTTATCAAATTTACATACTTAACTAGGATATTATATTTTTGGAATACTAGAAATGTGTGCTAAAAATAGTCAATACAATGAAATATGTCTAGTGGAACTGAATTAACGTTTTGAGCTTCGAACGCTTATTGACATCTGAAAAACTTCCTTGAAAATTAAAGCAGCTCCTATCATTGGATCCAATTTCCTTTGAAACATGTGATGGACGGTGCCGTTATCTTTCAAATTTGAGCTTTTATTGGCTCCTGTCGAAGAAATGAAAAATGTGTTAACTAATAAATTGCTCATCATTATCGAAAATATTTTGTTAGTTTACAACTTTTCAATATCTTTCACAAAAATCGGGATAATTTAGCTCAAAGTGGACGATTCAGGTGGCATTCTATTAGTGGAACCGCAGTATACCTAGTTGAAGAACTGACTTGACCTTTTGAGCTTCGTAAGATCTAACGTCTGAAAAACCTTTTTGGAATTTTCTCCATATGCTACGCAAGCCTAAAGAAAGTTCAACAAGATTTCCACTCTTTCAACATCACCAACAACAGAAAATTCCCACATAACCTTTATTCAGTGTTATTTGTAAAAACCTAAATCTTTGATAACCAATTTTCTAACATCTTACTTTTCGAAAACCACACTAGGTTTCGTCCTCGTGCCACTCGACATATACCTTCTGATCCATCCTATTATTAGTTGCTCGTTTCTTCTTCTTCGTCTTCTTGACGACGAAGCACACGATTTTCTGTTTTCACTTCAACACATTTCATTTTTTGCTTCTTCTTTTTCTTGTTTCAAGATTTCTTTCCAGTCGAAATGTATTCTATCCAAGCGACAGAAATGGCAACAAACCCATCCAACTGCACGACTGTCATGCTTCGGAATCATTATATTGTGGTAAGTGACGTCATCGATTAGGTTCAAATGTGAAATCGAAACTTCCAGACTGTGAATGTAGAGAAATTAACACAGAGAGCGATAGGAACATATTATGCTCTTTTGATTATAATCGAAGCGACCTTGTTCGCCACTTTACTGGCTGTTCACTTCAAGATCCGAAAAGCTAACCACCCTTTCTTCGGGTAAGACATTATTGAAAATCTTTGGAATGTCGTGAGAAATTTCAGACTTCTCTTTGGGCTCGTTTTATTATGCTACATATTCTGCGGTTACGCTGAAGCCGTATGTCAGTTCCTGTTTCTTTTCGGCGGTTCTGCAGAAACTCTGAATCTCATTTATTTTGCATATGATCTGACGTATTCGGCGATTACAGCCCTTTGTTTTTGCTGTTTGATAGGTGAGTTTTTGTTGTTTGTCACAGTTCTTACTAGTTAGTTGATGCCTGTGAAATGGGACGTTGAAAATTAGTAGCAATTTTCAGAGAATTCTTTCAAGGTAGTCTAGAATTTTCAGATGTAATGCACTATATCAGAGTGTATACTCCATTCGTAAAGTCTAGAACCTATAATTTTTTGTAAATATTCTTAGAAAACCTTCTTTTCCAAATGCACTTTTTTCAGAAAGAACAATCGCCACTATCTGGGCTGTCTCATATGAAACTAATCGCACTTGGTCTCTCTACCTAGTTCTAGTAGTCTTATCTGTTACGGGATACGTATATTTTGCATCCTTCGAATGCAGAGGGTGTGTTGTTTCAGCAGTCGTTACTGTTATCATTATTTTGGTATGACAATTCAAATTTGATTTTGAAAATACAGTTTGTTTCAGGGATGCATTGGTTTATACTTCCTCAATCGAACACTCACACTCCGTTATCAAAAAGATTTGTGTTTTATGGGAAAAGTTTCGCTGTCTATGAGATATCAGATTATTGAGAATATGATGTAAGAATTCTGAATCTTGCTCTTCCGTCAATTCAATTTTTCTTATTTTCAGAGTAGTCAGAAAAGCGCTACTTCCTGTTATCATCCTAGATAGCATGGTAACTCTTGTGGATTCATTTAACAGCGAGTTAACTACCCGGCTAGAAGAAATTGATGATCATAAATGTCATTCCATGATGACATACGTTCCGTATATTCTATTGAACCACGTGGCAATGATTCTGGAGTACAGTATCCCGTTATACATGATGTTTCGGAGATCTTATAGGAGACGTAAGCTTTTAATTATAATTGTTCATTAATACCGTGGAATCTGTAATAGAAGGTGCCCCCACACTGTCGAGGTCAGTTATCTCAATTCTGAGGTCAGTTATCTCAATTCCTATACAAGATATCGACGAAGTGTCAACTTGTTTATATCTTTGACAGGAACCGAGAAAAATTGGCTCGAAGTAAAAAGTGAAGAGGCCCTTCTATTGCAGGTTCACGTTATTTTTTTTCTATTCCAGAACTCCCGGAAATATGTCGAAAATTGCAACGAAAGAAAGTTCAACAGTCTCGTGACAGTATGATCATGAACGTTTTTGGTCAGGATTTGAACGTGGTGCCTACCCAAAATGAGTATTTTGCAAAACTGCAAAACGAGTGGAAATAGATAAATCATGCTCTCGAAATTTGAGAATCATCCCCCTAATGAAGAACCTATTTTTTTGCTTGAAAAATAAAACCTGACTCTTGTTTTCTTGGGCTCATTTTGCTTTTTTCGTTTTTCCCAGTTTTCTCCAGAAGAACCAAACCCTTCTTCTTGTTATTTTCATCTCTTGACCGCTGCTTTTGCTCCAGCGTCGCCGTGCTCTCATCAAAAAAGGAGGACCCTCTTTTTTATATTTATTTTCTCGCCCCAGTTCCAAAACCCAATTGTGTTTGTATTCTACACGTTTTCTTCTTCCTCCCCTTCCCCTCAACCGCTTCTTGATGACGTCTCGAAATGTGTGTAAATATTGGTTGGGGTACAGAGGTTTTCAGGTTTGGAAGGAAAAAGATTTTTTAGAAGAAGAAGAGGCTCTCAAAGAAGACGATTCATTTACCTCAAAACATGCATCCTCCTCCACCAAAACAACCACTAGATGTGTCTGGATGGGATAAAATCCCCCTCCGAAACGGCGACTTCTTTGATTTGATTTGTTTCACACATCCTCCTCTTCCCCATTCTATGTTTTCCTATTGTAAATGAGCTCCGCCGCTCTATTTCTAGAATCGAGCCGCCCGTAGCTGTTGCCTGTGCTCCGAAAGATTCGAAGATTGACTCAGTTGCAATCAGATTGTTGAACTAATTGAGCGAGAGGTTTTTCTCTCCGACAAAAAAAAGATGCTGAGCACAACAGAGAAAGAAACAAGCGGAGATCTGTTGCCATTTTTTTGTGAGACTCCCTCCGCCCGGATTTGAAGACTTTAAACTTTAACTTTTCCCGCCTTTCCAACCATTTAACTTGTTAGTCTATTTTTGGTCATTTGCTCTCTCAGCAGAAAAAAAATACGAAGAAGTGAAGTTTTGACAATGAGACCAAAATGTCGAATGTCGGTTTAGTTCGGGTGGCAAATTTCAAGTCTCAAGGGGAAGAATTTGTAGAAAAAGATGGACACAGAGTAGCGGGTTATTTTTAGGATTCAAGAAAGACTTTTTGTTAATTAAAAACATTCGTTATCATTTATTAGGTCACTGGATATTGGCTAAACGGTTGCCTGAAAAGCCCGCAATTGATATAAAGATTTTGTGCTGATTCGATTTGGTGAATTAAAATTTTCAGACTCAATAATAATGGAAATGGTTCAAAACTGAAATATCGTAAAATTTAAAATAATAGATCCTTTACTTGAGCTCAATTATCTCAATTCTTATAAAAGCTAACAAAAAACTTGCCAACTAATAAATGTTTGTTATTATGTCAACAACATTTTCTCATTAGACAAAACTTTGATGTCTCTTATAGCAACTGTGCTAATTGAGCTTAAAGAGCTAGTATATGGTGACCTTCTATTAGAGTGTTTACGGTTAAGCTCTAGAGTGTTCACAAAAAAAAGAAATCTTTGAAATGCATTTTTCGCAATACTTTACACGATGCTGAATTCCATTCAGATACTGTAGGTGAATATTAGGTTGGCGGGAAAGTCTTTGTCACTCTGTTTGTTTAATCACTGTTCTCGTATATGGAGGCTGTGTATGATATCGACTTTAGTGAATAACAAGGTGATAAGAACCTTCCATATAAACAAGTCCCCATCTCCTTCCCTGCTCCTCATCTGTAATTGAAACGATATGTTTGTTCCCACTGCTATTCACATCAGACATGTTTTGATTTACCTCTTCCTATCTCACACCACGATGAAGGATTCGGAAACTTTCTTGAAGAATGTGTAAAACACACATGCCCCTCACTACAATACTATTCGCAATTGGTTCCATCGTTTCGAAAAAGATGACTTCTCGCTCGATGAAAAGGATCGCTCTGGGAGACCCCGTGAGTTGGATTTGGACAAGCTGAAGCACGCATTGCAATCGGATCCATTTCAATCTAGCCGTGAACTAGCTGTCACATTCGGAGTTCACCATAGCACAGTCCTTGAAGGTTTGAAGTCTCTTGGAATGAGAAAACTTTTTGGTCGATTCATACCTCATCACCTGACTCAAGCCAACCTTGACCGCCGAGTCGACGATTCGATTACTCTTCTCACTCTCCACGCGGGCGATCGATGGCTGGACCGGCTAATAACCGGAGATGAGAAGTGGGTCTTCTACGATAATCACCACAGGAAATCCCAGTGGGTTGGAGAAGGAGAGAGCCCACAGGATGTCCCCAAACCCGACCTTCATCCGAAAAAAGTTATGCTCTCTGTGTGGTGGGGAGTGGACGGCCCCATCTACTGGGAACTTCTGCCCGAGGGCAAAACAATAACTGGAGACCTCTACACTACTCAACTACGAAACCTCAAGAAAGCAGTCGACCGTTCGGCCCTGAAAGACAAGAAAGTGTACTATCAACATGATAACGCTCGCCCACATGTTTCGAAACAAGTGAAGCAGGAGCTGATGGGATATGGATGGAATGTTCTCCCTCACCCCCCGTATTCTCCTGATCTTGCTCCTTCCGACTATTGGTTATTTGGCGATATGACACGTGCCTTCGAAGGAAGAAGCTTCAATTCCCGTGGAGCGGTCGAAGCGGCACTCAAACAATACTTTGCCTCACGCCCGGCTGGATTCTACCGCAATGGAATCCATAAATTGAGGGAACGTTGGAGACATGTTGTTGATAATGATGGACAATATAATTAATTATTCGGTTATTTTTTCTTTGAGAAATAAACTATTGAAAAAGTGACAAAGACTTTCCCGCCAACCTAATAAAATTGAACCTAGATTCTTTTGAGACCAAACTTGAACTTGTGGTGTTACAATTTCGAAATTCACGCTTGATGAAACTTCCCATCCCTTCAAAGTTCAGGCATAACTGCGAAAAATGAATAAGTCAAATGATCTGTAATCAAACGCACTAGAAACAAAATCAAAATGCTTTATTCAAAATATTTACATTCCTGTGAAATTAGTGATCCTTGACTTTTGGAGTTACAGTCCACCAGTCTGCAAAGAATAGGTCATCATACGTGACATTTTGGAAAATTTGGCAGGTCGAGAAAATTTTGTAGTTCTGCAGATTTGCTCAACATCAGGACCCAATGGTTATCTCGATGACGTGACTGCCATGAACTTCTACTCAATGAAACATCTGAAAAACTTCTTGACATCCAACAAATACCTTAACCCAATAGTGTTACCCAAACCGTAAACTTTGAGCCCATACATCTCATTTCTGGTAACAGATATAAAAAATCCATTCATAAAATGTTTATCATAATAACAAAATTAATTTGTCAGTTAACCACTTCTTGTTATCTTTTGCAGAAAATGAGATATATGGGCTCAAAGTTGAGGGATTGGGTGACACTCTATCAGAGTGTTTATGGTACCTTAGAACTTTTTCCCTCTGATTGTGAGTTCATGATATTATGCATTGAACCCACACGATGTCTTCGTTGAGTGATCTTCTCAAAGGCTTCGTCGAAAAACTTCTGGAGCTCGAAGAAATAATGATTCTGGTAGTTTTTGATTTTTATAATGAACTCGCTTCGAGGTTTCTTATCTACTCGAATTATAAAAATACTGAGAATGATGTAGTAGATGGGAACGCAATGGATTACTGAAACATTACCTTGATATTTAATTCTATATACTAATGTAAGTTCTGTAATAGAAACCCACTCTGTGCACTTTGAGACCAATTATCTCGGTTCTTTCAAGATATAAAAAGTTTGTCAACTCATAAAATACTTCTAGTTTTATCAGCTACATTTTATTAGTTGACAAGTTTCTCATATCTTTTGAAAGAACCGATATAAGTGATCTTAAAGTACATGTATAGGGTTGGCTTCTATTATTGCATTTACAGAATATGTAGCTCACTTTCAATAGTAGAAAACTGCTCCGCGTAGTCCATCGATTTCATTAGATAATGAGCAATATAAGATCCTCCAGCATTATAAGTTACGTAAGCCCACGTCACCACACTCATTACCCGAAACATGCTCGAAGTTCTTAGATTTTCAGAGATCTGATATCTCTCAGTGAGAGAACTATGTTTTTGAGATGTTGCTTTTCGAAAATTCTGAAAATGTCTTTGTAAAATGTCTAGTCCTTGTTTTCCCCCAACTGACTTCATTCTTTCTCAACAGATACAGTAACCCGGGTATTGTTGCAAGCTGACTGAAAAATATAAAGAAAGTGGGCACATTGACGAGGAATCGATTTCCGGATTTGGCGAGCTGGAAATTAGGAAATTAGCAAGTTTGCTATCATGTATATTTTTTACCCAGCAGTAATAAATAATAACTTCCCCAGTGTTAGTCGAGTTTTGTATAAACATGAAAAGACAACTGAGCGAAAGCTGAAAACAGAAAACACGTATGGATCAGAAATCGATAAACGCCTACATGAAAGACGTTGAGTAGGATTCCAAACCATTTGTATCGGTTCTCATAGTGGTAGGCTTGAAACGTGGCAACGAATCTTTCAATGGTCAAAATAAACGGACTGACTTCGATAATATACTCGGAAAACTTGTAGAGGTATCTGAGGTTACATCTACATCTCGATGGAATTATATCACATCCGCTTTCCCAATCATCAAAATAGTTTATCAGATCTTTTCCATGCAATCCAATACGGGCTAGGATATGGACCAGGACAAAGAAGGTATGATTGAAAATAACACATTTACTGTTGAAATGCAGTTTCACAGATATTTTGATTCTCCACAGAGCATACAGGTTTATAGGGATACAAAGAAGACAAAGTATCAAGGAAACGAGCAGTGTAGATCTGAATTTAAAATTGACTAATTACTTCAGCCATGGCCGAAAGTCCCACAACGAAAACTACAGTATTTATTATTGTTGTCCGGCGCCGATGAGCCTTGTGACCAAAAGTTTATTCAAAGGTGCATCGTCGGTTCTGAAGCAAAAACAGCTACGGTTTTTACAAGCGATGCTGGTTTGATACAGTATTTCGGCTTTGAATATTATATTTTTGCCTATTTCTCTATTTTGGACGGTGATTGACTGAAAACGCGCGAAAATCGAGAAAATAAATCCCGAAAAAAATCTTTCGGTTACGGTAGTTATCGTTGTGAGACCTTCGGCGGATGGAAAAACGAAGCTATAAACCTTAAAACTGATGACGTGGCAACTTCGGCCATCATCTGGCATTGCGTTTGGTTGTACATTGTTGACTGGTATAATAGAAAAACTCTATTTGGAAAACAAATTCAGTGAGGCGAAAGGGTTG